GTAGCTTGTTTACCTACAAATGACGTCACGCGTTCAATTTGACATTTAGTTACGTTTGCGCGCCAATTTGTTTCTATTTAAATTTTAACATAGTTTTAGCACATTTTAGAGACTATTAAGCTTTATTTTAATAAAATATTATTTTTCATGGCTGTACATATCTATTTTAGTTAATTCTAGACACTTTCTAAAAAATTTTCCGATTCCCTATTGTAGCTGAATAGTTACTCTATTATTATAAATAAGATTCAAATCTCTAACCATTCGTATGGCACAGTTGAAATCATTTGAAGATAAGGAATAAAACAAATACAAAAACAACTTTGTAACTTTTATTTCTTCGATATGATTTTCTAGTATGAAAACAATAGAAATCATATAAGTTTTACCCCATTTTAGAAAGCTTGGAATGTGTACTTTACTTTCAGATATAAACAATGTGTAATTTAGCACAACATTATTTAAACAAAAATATATAAACATCATATGTAGTATTTTCTTTTTCTAATCTTTGACTTTGAGATATGACAGTTGCCGAAGCTTGCCGAAGTTCTATTTTTTGTGTTATTTTGTAAGAAATATGATATACTTAGATGGCAAACAAAAATTTCTTGCGGTGTCAGTGCGGAACATGTTTTAATTTCGTAAAATATGCAGTAAACTTTTTATTAATTTTAATTTCGTACATTAAGAGTTTCTATTTTTCGGAATTTTCTGCCCGTACCGTCAAAAAACGCATATGACAAGAGTCAAGAGTCACGAAACAAAGACTACAAGCAGTTCAGACTTCATCATGCAAGAAAATGTTCGAGGGCAGCCACCAACGAAGACGTTATACACACACTTTTGTATACCTCTGAGCCATACATTACAAGCGTGAGAAAACCTTACAACAATAAATATTTGGAACTTCTTGATGAAGCAAAAGAGCTCCTGAGTGACTACTAAGCTATGTTTTTATGTATTCTTGATATTTAAAGTAGGTACTTCATCTTATTAATCTATAAATTTATAAGAACATGCATGGTTAAATCTAAGAAATTAATACTTTTTTATTCCTTAATTTTTTATAACTATAATAAATAAAATTTGACTTATAAAGTGTATATTATTTAAGAGAATATCTATTTAGGTATACCCAGAAAAAAAACCAGGTAGATATCATCAAAAACACGGAAGTTATAGATTTATGATATGAAAAGGAGTCAAGGTTCCCATAGTGCGTCGCAGGGACTATACCGTTTCCAGTAATACATGGGAAACTGTATAGTCCTTGTGACGTAGTCAAAAATGACTATTCCAAGACTGCAGATATCCACACCCAACGTTTTTAACAAAAACAATAAATGAGCTTCCAATAAGATCACAAAAGTGTATTGATAGCGTACTTGCTAGACCAATTTGAAGAAATCTTGTAATTTTGACCACCTTTATTATTAATACATTATACATAGTACATTAATTTAATTGCTAATTTTGATCTATATTTTAAATTTATACATTTATGTATAGGTCAGGCAAGCTGTCTGATGAGAACTTTCAACCTGGTTGGTATCTCCTGGAGCACCACAGCAATACCTCCTTTGAAGACCTAAGAGCTGGCATGGTCTTTCTACAGAGGAAGGTAAAGTAATTTGGCAATAAAAATTCGAAGAGGCTATGTAGAACTCTGTTATTTTGATCAAAATTGTGATCTATATTTTTTCAAGATGTATATACCAATGAAAGATATATATGCAAATGCATACTTAAGTTGCACTAGGCTTGGCATAATCCCTAGCACTAGGCTAGAGATTATGACCAACTATGGTTTATATTTTATAACACATGCGCATTTTGTAATGTAATTCTAAACATAATATTTCTGAATAAGGTGGAAAGTCAAAAGGAAGGGCAACTTAGTTTCCTCAAGGCAAACACAGGTGCTGTAATGGATCAACTGGACAGATTGGTGCTGCTTAAGAATATGTTCGAAGAAGACCAGCGGAAGAATGGCAAGGAGCCTTTGCCTAGTTTACAGGCAGCTATTGAAGGTATATTGGATATAATACCAGTTATCTAAAAAAAAACCTTAGCAAAACTACGTTACGCAGAGTTTAGTAACAGCTAATAGTAGTGGGAGATGAAAATCTCTGTAGTTCAGCAAAATGGCGAAGTGTTTCACAGCGCTGTGTGTTTCACTTGCAATGATGTCTTAAGATTGCCTATTCACAGCAGATTACTAAACAGTACACATAAAATAAAGTATTTCTATATGGATATTATTATTATATCCAGAGCAACATCCACAAATAACTACGAGTACACTAAACTAACTGCCTCCCCACCAAGGATGTCTAAATATAGACAAGAGCCAATTTACGCACCATGTTAAAACTAACAGTACAATATCATTCTACAGAAGTAAGTTAGTAATTTTTATCAGTAATAATTAAATGCTCTGCTGCCTCCGTGGTCCAATGGCCACGCAGGAGTCCCGGGTTCTGTATGAATAAATAATTATCCTAGAGCCAGCCACATACTTGTCGGCTTGCTGGATAAAAAATGGAAGGCAGTTTCGGTGATATGTGACTTTCTAATTTACCAATAGGTATAATTATATTCTCTTAACTTTGCTGTTTCAGAATCTATAACACTAGCAGATTCTCTCTTCTCCGAAATTTTGTCGCGGAAGGAGAACGCGGATAAAACCCGTGAGGCACTTTCCTTGCTCACAAGACACAAGTTCCTCTTCCAACTACCAGCGTCCATAGACAAGAATATCAGGAAGAAAGAATATGACCTTGTTGTGAATGATTATACTAGAGTGAAAAATTTGTTTGGAAACACAGATGTTAAGGTACTTACTTATGTGTTTAGTTCTTGTGAGATGTAATACATTATTTTACATTTCAATAAATAAATCAGATGTCTACTACGTTCCCAGACTACCATACTAATTACCTTGATAAATAAGCAGTTACCTTAGATTGTCTAGACTGAATGTATTAAGAAAGAATTTTCCTGAATCGGTTCTTTTTTAACCGACTTCAAATAAAGAAGGAGATTCTCAATTGGACTGTATTTTTTTTGTATGTATGTTATGCGATAACTCTTTTTTTTTTGTTGGAAAGATAGTACCTCGGTATGGGTCACATTTAAATTTGAAGAAAATGTTCCACCTCTAAGAGTGGCAAACTAGGAGATGAATCCGGACGAACTTTTTACAAGGAGCTGTACTGCTACTTAAGACTATTGGTTCTATTGGCAATCTTTGGCTGCTCATGTATGAAATGCTTAATGATTTGTTCTTTCTCTTTGATTCTGAATTTGTGTTGTAACGTTTAATAACATTACTGGCATGTCATTTGTACGGGTACAGTATCTTATTCTTAAAATATTGTGCTTTGCAGCTGTTCCAGAAAATTCTAGCTGAAATCGATAAGAAGATAGAGGATTTGAAGGAGAAGTTACACACTAGAATGAAAACGATGCCCATCAATGTCCAAGAACAAACAAAATACATTAGGTAAATTAAAGTACCTATCAATGTGTACACATCAGACATTTTACAGATTTGATAGGGTGGAATAATATTTTGTCTGCGACTACTTATAATTGTATATTACATTTGAAATCTAACAACAAGAAGGCTAGTTTGATGAAAATAGGTGAACGTCATGATGGCTGGTCGCCTGTGGCGTCTGGCACTGAGTGTCTATTCAAGAATTGCAAACTATTTGCTACTATTTTCTACCTTTTCTAAATGATTGCTACCTGTGATATACTCTGAGCAATTTAATAAAATAATTGACCTGCCATTCTGATATCAGGATGGCTGGTCACCACTTTGTTCAGCGTGAAGGGAGCAGATTTTCCAGAAGTATGTATTACCAATAATTGCTATTTGCCACTTTCACCAATTAAAGGTATACCTTCCTATCTACATTAGTTTAAAAAAATATGAACTATTGAAAATTTTACGAAGAAGTGCCAACGCCTGTCCTTTATATTATGGCAATAGATTACTAAAAACTTTTGCTTTTTTAATTTAGTCAGGCGCATCGTAAAATTTTCAGTCGCTTATATTTTTTTAACTAATGTAGATAAGAATCGTATACCTTTAATTATTGAAAGTAGCAAATAGGTAGCAATTATTGGTAGTACATACTTCTGGAAAATCTACTCCCTTTGTGCTGAACAAAGTGCCGACCTGCCATCCTGATATCAGAATGGCCGGTCAATTATTTTTTTAAATTTCTCAGAGTTTATCAAAGGTAGCAATTATTTAGAAAAGGTAGCAAATAGGTATCAATTTTTGAATACACGCACAGTGCCAGACTCCACAGGCGACCAGTCATAATGATGGTCACTGAAAATAGTACCATTCAGTTATAAAGCTTTGCGATATTTTTGACATATACATAACATCTTAAGTATTTTTTGCCTGTTTTTGTGCTTACACTCCCTTCACTTCAGTCAGGATCACAGCGATGCTTGCTTAGAAATAGTAGGGGGCGCTAACACCCAAGCGGGTTCCGCACATTTAGAGAGTGCTACCGCCGTTAATTATATGCGATAATGTATACGTGTAATTGTACGATTTTGTACTTAATGATTCACATTATAATTTTTAGGTTATTAATAAGCCTAAACTGGGAAGGCGACGCGGCGTGGATTGCGATCACGAGCCGCAAAGACTACCTCATGGGCCTCATGAACAAGGTCAAGGATCACTTTAAGCAGAAAGAGGAACAAGAAAGTAATGAGAAAGGTATTCAGGGTCGTATTCTAGAACTCTATTCGATGCTCAAGTCAGGATTGCACTGGAAACACAAGTACTGGAAATACGACCCTAATGGCAGGGACTTGAGTATGATTTCGAGTGCCTTAAACCATACTCAAATCCTGACTTGAGCATTGAGTAGAGTTCTAGAATACGGCCCTCAGTTTAATATACTTTATTGTAACAACAGATACAGTAATAAAATAAAAACATTGTTTGTGCATTAAAGCCGGGTTTTCACTATACGACTACTCTCGGACCCCGTCCATTCGGATGCTACACGTGTAAACATGTGATCCGAGCGCACTCGGACGTGTTGGATCTTTTGTTTACAAGCTACTTTGTGTCCAAGAGGACTCACATGGTGAAAACCCGGCTTAACTCAGATCGCAGAAAAAATTGTTTCATAATTATATCGCACATGTACAAATATAGTTGTAACTAAAAATGGCGGAATTTGAAAGTTCAAATAACTACCAAATGGAACCAATAAATTTATATTCCCGTTTAGTGGATATCTAGTTGTTATGTATAAACAAAAATAATCTCATTTATCCCAATAAGATTATTATTATATTTTTTTATTTTCAAATCATGTTTTCTCAATTCCATTATTTTTGAGTTACGACAGTATTTGGTTTTAATGTGCGATATACAGTGTGTTGTTTTAACTAGGACAGTATGAGAAAATTCGACATCATAAGAGATACAGAGAAACTGTCTTAGGAGGAACCATGAAGTCTTTTTGTGAAAACAATTTTGGCATAGTCAATTTTGGTCAAGCTTGAGTTGTCCATAAAAATGAATAAAATGGACTAGTTTTTTTTTAGTGATGATTCACTCAGTTTCTTATAAGGATAATATAAGGATGTATTTCATTATTACATAGAGGGAGCAAAGTTTGTTATAGTATGACTTTTACGAGTTTTTCAAATGTACTCACTCAGTAGCCCTAAAAACAAAAAATATAACTTTCAACAAGTTTTCTGTAAATTTTTGTAATGTAATAAAATAACGTAAGTCATTATTTCGTCGGAGGTGCAATATATAGAGTGTATGGAGGCGTTCTGCAATAGAAAATGTCTAAAAAGCTATGAATATGAGTGCATTAGTTAGACGATTAAAATAAGCATTTCCACTTACTCTGATTTTTTTAATAGATATTATAAAAAAAAATCTTATGATACGAACCGAATTATTGCAGGCAAGCGCAAACAAAAGGAAAGTGAAAACGAAGGGCCATGGAGTATGACACGAGCAGCGTGGTGTGGGGCGGCGTGTGGAGCCTTGGCTTCGGAACTGAACGCGCTGTGGCCCCTTGCGAGGAGATATTTCGCGGGCGAGCTCGGCGGAGAGCCCACCGCACCGCAGCGACATTCTAATCTTAAGGTAATATTCCAAGTCTGATTAATGGGAATCAAGGAATTTCCGAATGTTATTATACTGATTTTAAAATATTTGTTTTCTTTTTGTTAGATATTAATTATCTAACTATAAAGTATTACAAACTATTGCAGCTCCTTTTTGGACCTTTACCTGCTTTACAGGAAATGATAATAGCAGCCGTGGAGGTCTTTAGCGAGCATATGCGCGAGTGTCTGCTAAGCGGCGGGGGGAGTGTGGCCGGAGGAGGGGCTCTACCGGTGGATGTGCTGCGCACGCGTCTGCTCGCTAACCTGCGACATCTGCGCGAGGCTTATGATTCGTTGCTTAAACTTGACTTGCCTTCGCAGGTATAATACATACGAATGGCTTCATTGACTTACAAATAAATGGACGTCGGGTCCGCGCTAAAAAGTGTCCGAACTTACAGGGCGTTAAAATCGTATACAGAGCGTCAATCACGCTTTAGTCTTCGTTTGTTCGACTGACAGCGCGCTTGTCAATAATGCCGTATTGTGTAGTAAAACCTTGTAAAAATTACTCAACTAAAGTGAAAAAACAGGGTGGTATACCATATTTTCAGTAAGTACTACATTGTGTTATCATAGTTATCATTTAAAAGTGTTATTTTATGGACTAGTATATATAGTATTTAATTTTTTATTTTAATTATTAAATTAATCGTAAATATAAATTACAAAAGCAATCAAAATAATCAAATAGCTAACTGTCTCTTTCCGACTCATTGCTTGCGTAAAAGACTGAATGAGACCCTTCACGTCAATTTCAATTGTTTGAAACACAAGCGTTTGAAATATTTAGAACAAACATGTCATAGAGTCGCTTTTTTGTAATGTTATTATTAAAATATTTTTAGTACATGTTTGTAATACTTTCAAATATTGTTGTACTCTTTCTACGGCTCGGGGTTACGAATCAGAAGACCGAAAATACATTTGCTCGAAATAAGGTTTGCATGAATTTCCATAATCCCGAAAGTATTATTTTAGGTTTTTCGGGAGAAATATGTGTATGGCGTACATTTATTTCTCACGTGAGTTTGGGTGTAATTTGTGGTTGTCTATATGTGTGTCCATGGCACCCGGACTAGGGTTTCCCTAATACGGGGCAATGTTGAGTGTGTGCGTTATTATAATTATTATTATTAAAAGCACTACGGCATATAGAAAAGTGGTGACGTTTTTGAGCGCAGTATAATTTCAGTACTATGCATGAACGGGTTAAGAAAATGGTAAGAAAAGAAAGGAAACCAGAGCTGATGCAAGCTTGATAAAAGACCATAATATTAAAGCTTTGGTATGTGATTACATCAATGAGTGAACAAAAACATTGCATAATAATACCAATAGTAACAACCTTGATAGCCTAACGGTTTGCACTGTGGGCACTGGATGAGAAGTTCCCGGGTTCGATACCGGTAGGATCAATTTAACAAATTAACTTTTCTAAATGGTTTTGGTCTTGGTATTCTATTGTAAGACAATGACCTGGTTTGAAACTAGGGAACTGTACAGAGGTATATACTCCCCATGAGCATCAGAGCAACAGAATCCCAGAGCAGAACCAATTTACAAAAGTTCATTTCCCAAATTGGTTCTACTGGGAATCGAACCTCGGACCAAGAACGATGGAATTTATTCCGGGGCATAACTCAGAACACCCAGGCCAAAACAACTTTCGAAAAATTCAGTTAGTTTTATAGTTACTTGAGCTGATTTTTTACGGTTTTTAAAAAAATTCTCGAGTAACTCGAGAAATCGGGTACGAGAATTTTCGAAACTCGAGAAAAAAAGTCAGACACTCTAGCTTGTAATAAATGGCATTGTATAAAATTCAACATTTACGTATAAAATTTATTTATAAATAATAAAGGCTACTCTATTATACCTATGTTCAAGAGTTTTCACTAGAAGCTACATATGGTGCATTTTGGTAAGTTTCCAGTAGAAGCTGAATATGGTGTTTATTTGCGCCTTTCAATTGTTGCAAGCAAAATTAGGCAGTGCTGCCATGACATTACAATTTAAATTCAACGTTTTAGCTTTTTATATTCCTTTACATGTCACTACGTTTAAATAGGTTGACGTGGGACATTTTTTTCGTAGTTTTTGTATTAGACCCGTCGTCCATTTATTTGTAAGTCAATGACTGCCTTCAATGATATAGTACCGGTGGCCGGTAGTATAAAATAATTCTAAGATACTATCATAATACGAGTCATTGCAATTCAGCTTTGCAGTCCTTTCAAAATACAAGTGATCTTAGTTCAGAAAACAACTTTGCTGGTGTTTCGTAAAGATTTGTTGATTACAAATGCCGTCATTGTAGATTTAGACATCTTCATTATTTTTATTGTTTCACAATTCCGAAGATTGATAAGACATGTTTGCGCCACCATATTCGAATCAAACGTAACTTGTCCACCTTTACAGTTGGTTTAACATATGTTTAGCTACATATACAGGTTTACCTGCATATATATTTTTGTTTATTTTTTTCAGCCACTGAGTATAGTAGAAAAGGTGATATTCGAATACCGCGTGCACGGCATGGTGGTGTTCCTCCAACGAGCTTTGCGTCGGGTTAAAGGGCTCGCTGATGCAGAGACGTGGAAGGTCGAGCAATTCTCTGACTACGGCGCCATCACCATACTTGTTAGTATTTTTTTCAATGATTCATCGACAGATTTGCACCCATGTTTGCTGTCTACCTAAAATTGACGTCCTTTAATTATTTTATTTCATTACAATTTTTTAACTTATTTAAATTCGTGCACAAACACCACTTATAAGATAGGTATATAAATATTCTCTGTAAAAGATTTCTACTTGAAAACTACAACGAATGTGAATTATCGATATTTCTAGCCCCATCTGCTAGAGACATACATGAACGAGGCGTTATCTTCGATCCACAAGTGCGTATTAACAAGTGGTCGTCGCGAGAGCGCGTTACTGGCTGATGGTAGCGAACCGGCCGCACAGTTACTCAAACACACGCAGCAGATACTGCTCGCCTTTGTCGCTGTGCTTCGGGACCTCGCCTTGCAACATGATGATGAGGTGAGCTAAACGATAATGTGCAAGATACCACTTTGCAATATGGAAGATCGCGGAAATAATGAATTATGCTTAACTTACATTGCTACAATATTGTAGTTCTGGGAATACCCGAGAGTGCGCGAGAATTCTTTGAAAGTTTTTTGGCTCGCTACCAGTTTGTACGTTACACAATTGACATAAACTTTATTATATATTAGTTACAATAATTCGCTTCCATTCCGTTAAAGTAAATTGAGCCTAAACCCTTTGCTTAAATAAAAGCTTTGTAAAAAATCTCTATCACTTTTAAACATATATTAAAAAATAACAATTTCATGTGCACTTATTACTATTTTAAATTTTATAGGTTTCTGTCCTGATATTTCAATCCTGAATTCCATTACTTTGGACCTTTTATTGGATTAAGGTAAATGTCGGGGATTACAAGGATTCTATACAATTTTAACAATACAATGTTATTCTGTATTTTTCGATACATACGAGAACATGACATTTTTTCTTAATAAATTTCGATCCAACAAAAGGTAAGGATTGTTCCAAAGGAAGGAATGTTCCAAGTTTGTAACATTAAAGCGTGAAACACACAGAGAGCGGATGCGGGTCAGGTGCGTGTCGGCTCGGGAGCACGACACGCCCTAAATACACGTAGTTAGACTCGCCGCGCTCCCGACCTGGGGGGGTTTAATTTGGTTAAATATTACTTATTTGACATATTTGGATGTCAGACGGAGAAAGATAGTAGACCCCCTTACACGCGCTCGACCCGCACCCGCTCTGTGTGTGTTTCACGCTTAATATTATGCATGTTGTATACCGTCCTGTACGTGTAACTCACGGATGATGTAATTCTCTAATCCGAGCTGTTACATTACAAGCACTTTGTTAGGATCATCAATCAGCCTGTACAGCATTACGCATATTTCGGTGCTTCCAGGCCGACTTCAACAACACGAGCCTGTCAGTAGCGTTGGACCAGCGACTGGAGGACGGAGCGGCAGGCAGCATGAGAGGCCCGGGCGGCCGCAACTGGCAGCAGCGATTACTTATGACCGGCGCCAACGCGCAGTATACGAGGCGACGCACTCTTAGCAACGTGACAGCTGTATTTGACAAGTATGTAATATGCACGAAGTAAAACTAAAACGGTTATACTTGTGACAATCTAATACCCCGTCCTGGGATGTTAACCAAACAAATCCAAAACTGACACTGGCCCAAGCCTTGTGCCCCCCATTAAGGAAATAGAAATCGAAATAGAACCAAACAAATTGTTAACCAGATTACGCGATTCCCACGAGAATAGATTAAAAAATAGGTTCATTGAAAATAACCCCATATTATGAATTATAATACTACTGATTAAAAATATGTCTGCCATCGACCACATACATGTTTTTGGACGTCAGAAATCTGCCATTAACACATAAAGTGATACAGAATATATTTTTTATTTCCAGTTTCAGTCTGCCAAAACCAACACAACCTATTCAAGTTACCAAAGATGCACTCAGCACCCTGGAGACTACTATTGCCGAGACTTATTTGGAACACAAGGGCGACCCATTGGTTGGCACGATTGAGCCCAGCATGTACATGGGGAGGCATAAAACCGATGTTGAGACACCAGTGGACGACGCACGTCCTTACGTTTATGAGATTATCAATAACCTGATTGCGGTACATGCTGAGGTATATTATTTCAGTATATTTTCGAATGTAATAAAAATATTGCAAAATTCAATGGTAATAAACATTGACTTACAAATAAAGTAATAAATGAAGTTTAACGTCCGAGCGAAATGCTACCAAAGCGCTATGCTACATGTATTTAGTACCAAAAATATCCGCTAGATGGCATTAGCATCGAGTTGAAACGCGCAAGCAGTTTGTTAATTCGGGAACATGACATTCGCGGAGGTTTTAATGAAAGTTTAACTTTGCGCAGAGGCAATATCGTAACCGATGAGGTTAATCCGAGGTGCGATTATTGCTAGTTGAAAACTTTACCAATACCCCGCCGTGTGGACGTGAAATACCGTCCGCTATGGCAATTTTTGCGAGGCCTTCAAGGCCTAATTATGCTTCTTATTCGAAAGTTGAAGGAACACTTCCGTAATTAAGATTAAGTTCATTTATTATTATGGCATATTTCTCATTCCCTATATAATATGTGTATATGTTGGGTTATGTTAAATCATTAATTGTTTTGTTTTGTATTATGGACCAAAAATTGGTCCACGTTTATACCGTTTTTTCCATAAATTATTTATTGTAGTACTATATGTGTTAATAAACGTATACGAATGTTATTAGGTGGATAGCATCTGCGGTGCAGCATCATCTCGCTACGTCCGCGACATCTGCGAGACGGTGTGCGAGGAGTTGGCTCGGCTGGCAGCTTGCGCGCCTGTCGCAACCACGCGCTCTGCGGCGCTGCAGGCACGGCTTGAGTACACTCTGCTCAGATTTGCCTGCGCTGAGCATCTTACTAGGAAAGCTGAGTTAGTATTTATTGCATTTAATTATATATTTGTTTATTCATATACATTTTTTAATCAAACACAAATGCAAAACCCCGAAGATCCACCTAATTTTGAAAATGAAGGCGTAAAGCTAAATTAATAGTTTTTTTTTTATTAGCTATAGTAATTAAACGTAAAAATAAAAAAGATTTTATTTGACATGCAAAAAACATAGATTACAAACCATTGTAGAAAATTACATAATTCCTTTATAACAAAATAAAAACGATAAAGTGTATGTATCTGTGAATCCTTTTTATTTTAGAAACTACTTGATGGAGGCATTGGCTGGAATTCCGCCACTAGAAACTGAAGAAGATAAAAAGTATGTACGCCATATTCCTGTAAAGCACCATATAGCTTTTGAATATCATAAGTTATTATTATACAAAATGTATGCACGAGACATCGAATATGGCACGAGACAACCAATTATTTATAGTAGGGTACAATAGCAACAGTTCAGTACAACAATACTTAATTTTATTTAATTTTATCTTTTAATTTTTTTTAATACGAATGTCCAAAGGTTATTTTCATGTTGAGTTCCCAGGTTTAATTTCACCATCCAAATATTTTCAAAGACAATTCTTTTTGTCTTTTACAGCAGGATGGACGAATTAATTCAAGGTTTCAAGAAACGCATGGAACTTCAACTAGGGAGCCTTAATTGCAACATGGAGACAGTATGATAACTTAAGGTGTAAGATACATGTTTTTACGTTTTGGAAGTCGCACAAACGTGTGTCGTACGCAAGATACAAGCAACCGGTGACAGTGTCCGTCTGCCGCAACTGGCGACTGTGTCCGGTTGTCGCAACTGGCGACTTTGTCGATTTCATATTAAATATATGAAAATAGAGTATTCGTTTCTAGTTGCCGGTTGCTTGTAACTAACTGAAGTTACACGTTTGCACTGTGGCTTGTATAATATTCAATACCATACTTGTTGAATGCAAAGCTTTAAATTACTATTCGTAGTTTGCTTAAGAAATTAAAGAAATTGGAACTGTTTATATAATTTATTTATTATACGACACACGATATAATTGAAAATCTATATAAGTTATAAACAATATGTTAATAAATGAATTAAAAAGTATAGTTTTTATTTAATTGTAAGAATGTATTTATTATTACGAAGGTTCCTCGTTCATATTATTGTAACTCTGAAATAAGAGGATTTATTTTATGTTCTTCGGTACAACGCTGAATAATAAGGATCCATAAATATATAAAAAAAAATTGTAAGTCCTTGGGTCGTCTTCTAGAACTCTGCTCAATGCTCAAGTCAGGATTTAAGTATGGTTTAAAGCACTCGAAATCATACTCAAGTCCCTGCCATTAGGGTCGTATTTCCAGTGCTTGTGTTTCCATTGCAATCCTGACTTGAGCATCGAGTAGAGTTCTAGAATACGACACTCAGGGTCGTATTCTAGAACTCTACTTAATGCTCAAGTCAGGATTTGAGTATGGTTTAAAGCATTCGAAATCATACTCGAGTCCCTGCCATTAGGGTCGTATTTCCAGTGCTTGTGTTTCCAGTGCAATCCTGACTTGAGTATTGAGTAGAGTTCTGGAATACGACCCTTAAACATGTTACCTCTTCAGCGAGTTTATGCAGTGTTTGCGCCATGGAGGAGCCGGTCTCGGCTACCATCCTGCTAAAGGCGCCCCGCCTGTTCTGCAGCAGGATGTGGGGATGGTTGAACTCAATTAGCTTACCGCCGTCCAGCACCAAAATCTAGCATAAACAAATATTAATTATTTACGACCACAATATAGTTCGATCTGCCATATCCGTTTCTCTTAGGCTATTTTCGTTTCTAGGAGACAAGTAATTCCCGGAGCACCTAGCAATTATTTGAGGTGAGACGACGCAATGGTTTTCACATATTTGTGAACAAAGCTTATCGGTAATAAATACGTAACAGCAAATTTTATAAAATGGGCTAATAAATTATAGCGTCGGTGTTTTGTAGATTTTTTAAGGGAGCATGTGTTAGGTTTTGGTGATTGTTTTAAAATATAGGAAATGAAACTATTTTTCCGGATTTAAATCACGGTTGACTACCAGTCAACCGTGACCATGGGACCTGTAAAGGGCCCGAAACGTCGGTTTGTTTGAAAAAACAAATATACGCGATTTAAATCCGGAAAAATAGTTTCATTTCCTATGTGTAACAATCGCAAAAACCTAAGAACTCGATATGTTTTAAAATATTTACGTCCTGTTTTAAAATTCAATTTTGGTTTTATTAATTAAGTTTAAAATTAATTTTGAATTTGAATTTTTAAACAGGACGTAAATATTAAGTTTTTATTGAATATCACGATGTTTTACTACCACGATATTATTTATTTTTTTGTGAAATTGCTCCACTAATGTTATAATTCTTCTGGCACGGTTTGCTTAAAGAAGTTTGTTCGAATCCGGCCGGATCGAAGGAATTTTTTCTAAGTGTTCGATCTTTGTTATTACTAATTAGGACATAAATATTTCAAAATAGTCGATAAAATCTAAAACATGCTCCCCTGAAAAAAATCAGAATCTGAAAAAATGTGAATGAAATTTCGCTTAAGCTCTTTCTATCAAATTCCGACGATATGGGTTCAACTTTCAAGCTTTAGTTCGGTTTATACAAAGAAAATATGTAATTAAAAAATGAAGTTTTTACGAAAAAATAGCTATGAAAATTAAAAAAGAAGGAAAACGTTTATAAAAGTGTTTTCACTCGTCTGCTTCACCTTGCGCACTTTCCCTTTTACGCCTTTCCATCCAAAAAGTAAACTTATATTACCCTAGTGGAGTCGATGACGGTATTAAGCCGGTGTGCGATAGTGAGCACAGTGCAGGCCATGAAGTGTTTACGTATCGCAGTTTGAATGAGCGCGTCGGTCTGCGCGTCTACATTAGCTGTAGCCTCATCCAGCACCAACACTTTGTTGTTGCGGACAATGGCGCGTGCAAGGCAGACCAACTGTCGTTCGCCTACACTGAAGTTTGACCCGCCTTCAGCTACTGTCTTATCCAGAGCACCTGTTTAATAAAGATGATGAAAGACCACAAGCTATTACGTATGCGTTTGCGTATATTTGAATGTGTACAGGAAGCTTGACAGCTTTTGCCGGACCTTCAGAACATACGGTGACTTAGTAGCGATTCACTTGCGATGCAGTCGCTAATCGTCTACCTTAGCATTTGGCCACGACCGCCGCTGTCAGCGGTAGCTTAGCTGGAGCGGCGAGTGGCAAAAACAAATGTATTGAAATGTATGAAAGCACGCCACGAGGCGACGCACTAAGCAGCAACGCGCGCGATTTTTGCAGAACGGTTTACAGCAGCGGTGCGCGGGGCAAGTCGCGGCGGAAACAATGTACGGCCCAACAATGGAGATGTCACGACCCAGGGCAGCGCAGACAGCGGCTATCGAGTGACGTACTCAGCGACGGCTGTACAAACAAAATGTTGATGAAACTTTCTCAAACACGTATCTTATAAAGAGTGATTATTCAGGAGATGGCAAAACTTTCTATTTATTTTAAATTTCTTATCAAGGGTGTTAATTTGGTTGCATTACTTTAAGAATAGGTAAAAGCCAGTGTGTGAATATGAAGGAAATGTGATATCAACCTGCATTTGTATATACAATCCATTTTTTGCATTTCAGTTACTTTGAGTTTGAGAAAGTAAGGCGACGATAATTTAAAATATTTCGGAGCGGAAGATGGACACAGAATCATTTATTGGTGAAATATTAAATCGGCCACCAATATAGATGGCAAAATAAAGCATAAATTTAAAAATGTTCAACTTTTCTGAATAATAATAATTGGTGACAACCCTTCTGGATTTGATGTTTCAAATATATATCTAAGTAGATACTTACGTGTTGAAAAATATAATCAAAAGTTTGTACAGTCGTTACGAATACACGAGAATTCGTGTATTCGTAAAACTTGTCAGAATATTTCGTGTGTACTCCGTATAAGTTACAGAATTCGCCATATTAATGCCGCTCTTTATTCGATTTGTGGATCCCTACCCCCGTATTCATAGTCTTATTTAAAATATGAACTGCTTTCGAGGCAAATAGCGCCACTTTAGATAACACCATGTTTAAATAAGTACGGCTGTTGCCGTCGCTAAACACTACAGAGCGTACGTGGTGTGTATAACTCGCCGCTTTCCACCCCACAGAGAACCTGTACAAATCATGCCAGGTTTTATCTACACTACGCCAATTACTTATATGACACACTGTTTTTACGAAAAAGCATTCTTTAATAGCGTATGAAGTAAACCTAACTAATAGTAAGAGACAACATGATATAGTGCGCCTGAAAAAGTCATTTCATACTGCCTTTATAAATCGGTTTTTTACTTTCCCGGGATACAATAAAGCAAATTTAAATTTGAAAATTTATTCCCTAGATAATTACGAATGCAAGAAAGTCATGACAAAATGGCTTCTAGGCCTAAACTACAGTGAAACAACAATTTATTGAAGTTGTAGGTTAGTAAAACGTGAAGTCGTCGGTCTTGTGAATGGATATTTGACACTGGATTATTGGAAAATAGTGTATTAGTCATTTGATTTTTTTTAAAGATATATATATACATATATTTCCTCAATGATCTAACGCATCGGTTAACTTACCTTCACGGATGTCGATTAGCTCGACAGCGGATAAAGCTTTCAATAAAACGTCGTCTGGGTATTGGTCGAAAGGATCTAAGTTCTTTCTCATATTGCCACTGAAGAGAACTGGCTCCTGAAGTATTTATGTACATTTGAAATTGGACAGATTTGGGCTCCTGTCTCGGTTGTCTTTTTTGTTTCTCGATTTAAAGCCAGTTGTATATTGGTATGGGATGTAAAGTGTTCACCTGTGGAATAATAGAGAGCCTTTCCCTAAGGTCGTGTAGGCTGATTGTCGCTGTATCGATACCGTCGATGGTTATGGTGCCTTCTAGGTACGCCAGTCGGAACAGGGCTTGTATTACTGAGGATTTGCCCGCGCCAGTTCGTCCCACTATACCTATCTACAACATTATACAATTTGTTTATACTTTAATTCAAAATTTATTTAAAAGAATGGATTAAAAGCTACAGAAACTTGTACAATTCAGTGTATCGACGTTAAAGACCAGCTCACTTTTTCTTGCGGTGCAATATTCAGGTTTAATTTGTGAAGAACTGACATCCCCTCGAGCGTGTACTTTAGACTCAAGTTGGTGAATTCCACGGCGCCTTCATAGGGCCATTCTTTCGGTGGTTTGTTGTCTTTTGTCTGATTTAAATACGATATGTGAATTACAATTCTAAATAAATATAAGAAACGTAGGAAAAATCTTTCAAGAAACTTCCAGTAGTGAGCAACTTACACTCTTTAAAGTAGGTTCTCTCGGTAGATGTGTGTACTCTAGCACTCTCTCGACACTGGTCATCTGGTTCTCCATTTCTGCGGACTGTCGCATTCCCCATTGAAAAATACCTGTCAACGAAATTGACTGCGTGATCGCAAGTCCTGCTGAACTGGCATCCATTACTATAACAAAAACAATTGACAAAGTTATTCTACATTTTTAAGTAGCTGTCGAAATCTGCTGGATAGTATTTGTTGCTAACCAGTTTTCATAAGGCAGCTAAAAGTGACGCAAATTATGAAGAGCAGACAGATCATGTCAAGAAAGTAGCCGAAGGCACGGCTGCAGGTGATGAAGAGGTACCATGCGGAACTGTGTAGGTCTTGGTGCCGATCGAACTCCTCAGCCAGCAGAGATTCCGCGCCGTAAGAGCGTATCGTCGCCAGCCCGAGGACCGTGGCATTTAGGTGACTGAAGACCGGGCTACGAGCTACGAGCAACTTTTTTTGGTAACGGTAATTAAAGTAAAAATGTTGTGTACTTTTAAAATTCGTGTCTTTTTAAACGTAAACAACATTTTTATGATAGTCTGACTAACATACAGACTTATTTCAAAATTGGGGTATAAACATACTGATTCCCTCTAGACGTTTTACAGCACCACTAGTACGGATGTAAATCACGCGTAATATGTAGAATATCATCATAGCTGCAGCTGTAGGAATTAATAACGCCACGTCCGATAACAAAATTACCGCTGAAACTCCGATGAGATTCAATAATATCTGGAATTGGATATTTATTTATTCATATACATTTACTTTGTGTACTAGTAAATTTTATTATTTACCTGTACCTGGATTTACCTGAAAGCAATCTATCATAGCTTGAGGTAGCAATTCGTCAACAGAGCCCATGTCTTTGCTAAACCTGTTGAGGATTCTGCCCGACGGATTTATGTGAAAGAAACTCATCGGCGATTGTGATACGCATTCAAACATTTTGTCGTGCAATCTGTCGGAAACATTATGGCCAGTATTTTTACGCTTTTAGCATTATTTCTGATATATCAAACAATACAAACTTTATTGAAGATCGCATGCAAAGAGAGAAAAAAAAGAACGCTCGTAGTAACGCAACGCCAATTGTTGCTATAGTGATGACACCAAAAATAAGGACGAATTCATCTCGTGTTAGACCTTGGTCATGCCATATTTTTGCATCATTTTTCGCATCACCAGTTAACGTATCCTCAGCTTGACTCCTAAAATCACATTTCTATTGAATGCTGGTATGCGCCTTATCTTTAGCGCATGATTCGTTATATCCATAGATATAGAAAAAAAGGGGAGATTTGATATGGGGGCGTGGTTCGTGTCGTCTCGGTATGATCAAAATGATGATCATATCGAGGTGACACGCCTACAAACATCGCCACAGTGACATGGCGATCGTCGTAACATACAAGATCTCTGAAAATGCCAAGTTGTAGCGATACACCTTGTAAAAAATTGACCGAAAACAAAAATTTTTAAACCAGTGAGATAACATTCCACTGGCTATTTGCATTTTTAGTTATTATTTCTATTATTATTCAATGTTTTCTATTTTTTAATTTATTAAGGCTTTGGCAAACCCATCAGCCTAAACATGAAGTTTAATTATGTTTCTGTAAATATGGCCGCCACAAAGAAGATAGGCAATTTGAGGCGGCGTGCTTGGATTGACTCAGGATTCTTTAAAAAGGGCCGATACGTGAATTTTAGTTCGAGATTCGTATAATTTCGCATTTTAATCTTTGATTAAGGCACAATACCACTATCCTATTCCACTTTAAACTAGATTTCACAAAATAATTGAAAGTCAAAATAAAAACGACACTTTTCCCTCCAAAAGTTCCAGAGCGAATCCAATGTTTTCTTTTCGTCTCCATAGACATTTCTAGATTTTTATTTTTTATTTATTAAGGCTTTGGCAAAGCCATCAGCCTAAACATGAAGTTTAAATATGTTTCCGTAAATATGGCCGCCACAAAGAGGATAGGCAATTTGAGGCAGTGTGCTTGGATTCACTCGGGATTCCTTAAAACGGGCCGATACGGTTATTTTAGTTCGAGATTCGTATAATTTCGCGTTTTAATCTTCGATTAAGGCACAATAGAGTCTGTCTAACGAAAGATGAGACCGGCTTTTTATTTCGAAAATGTATATGGCAACACTAATAATAATGTCAATGTCACTAGAACCTGAGTTGTTGATGTGTCAAAGTGAAAATTATTTCTGCGATTTTAGCAATTTTTCTAATTGGACAGGACATTGGCGGAATCGCCATTTTTTTGTATAATTTTTATAATAATATTAAACTACCGTACATAGTTATTTTTACTTGACATTGGCAAAATCATTGATTATTTCGATGGAGCCATAACATTTAAAAGAAGAAGAAGAAGATTTCTAATTGAAAACATGACGAAAACATTGAAAAGCGACTTACGATATGTTCTTTTTACTATGATTAGTAAATTTGAAAAGAAACAAGTTGAAAGAGATGTAGTTTTCAAGGAAAAACAAGAGTGTTTACGTGCAATGTCTCAATGCATTGGTAAGTGTGACTTCGATATTTTGATACCTTTCATCTTGATTGCATTGCGCGTTATATAAGTACGATTTGTTTAATATTTATTATTTTGCAGGTAACATGGATGATACCAGTAATCCAGTTATAGAAACCATTCGAGCAACAATAAAAAAATTGAATGATCTGTTCCTTAAAGAATGTTTAAAGACACAAAATCAGTATCTTGACGAGATTTCTTCTATGACCGGTAAGTACCTATTTGAGTACCGTCGTTATTTATCAAAACACCTGTACCTAACCGACAAAATACAATGCAATATGCAGTGTTAATAGGGTTGGCAACGCAAAGCTAATTGTAGATGTCGTTACGTACGGTTATTCTTAATAAAAACTCAAATATCTTTATTTTTTGTCATTATCATGACTAATTAATGGGTCAGAATCTTAGTAAATCATAAAAATGGTCACCTCAAATCGTTCAAATATCGTGTATCTTGTTTATCAAATAGATTTTTAAGGTTTTCACAAACATAACCTATAAAAATATGGCTTGATTGAATTTTCTATTAAAAAATATGCTAACACGTCCGTAATTAACTAACATAACCGTTTTATAAAGATTTTCACTTAATTTTATAAATTCACGGAGAAAAATATTTTTGAAGTGAATTTTCCATACATTTGACAAGTTATTTTGGAACAACCATAAACAGCGACATTTTGACAGTTGCCAACCCCATTGTTTTACATTTTATTTCCAGACTGTCTCTTAAATATCCCTTTGTTTATTGTGAGGTCCTTTTAGGCGGCTCTTTTGCTGCTGAATATTGCAATACAAAGACATCCTTAGTAGTTGTTGTTTTCATAATAAAATTAAGATTATTTTGTTTATACATTATTTTTTACTTCATACCAGCGGAAACCTGATAATATCTTCTTGATTTGGTCTCTTTTTGTAACCCATTCTTTTATCTGTCATTGGTTTGTTCTTCTCGTCTCAAGAATTTTGAGTAATAAAAAAAATTACTCTTGTCGATGAATGTGTTATTTATAAACCCTACATTTTTACCTTACTAAAATTAATTGTATTTAAATATTTGTTTCAGATATCAGTGTTGGTACCCTTAAAAGAATTAAAACAGAGGGTCAAACAAATGAAGGCACGTGGAACACACCAGGCAAAAAGAGGCCACATAAGCCAACAGTGTCAGCTTTAGATTCTTTTGATATTGATACGATTAAAAACAAAATAAATGAGTTTTATATCGTAAAAAAACAAATTCCAACATTAAGGTCCCTTTTACGTGAATTAAGGGATAGTATTAATTTTACTGGCTGTCATGAAACATTGCGTCGCATCCTAATATCAAATGGATTTGAATTTAAGAAAAACAAAGATGAACGTTCTATTCTTATTGAAAGATATGACATAGCAGCATGGAGACACCGGTTCTTGCGGACAATCACTACTAAACGTAGAGAAGGCAAAGAAATTGTATATCTTGACGAAACTTATGTTCATCAAAACTATAAACCTAAAAAATCATGGCAGGGTCCATCCACAAGTGGTGCTGTCACTAATATCTCTTGGGGTAAGAGATATATTATTGTTCATGCTGGCTCAGAAAAAGGTATCGTGCCAAATGCTCTTTTGGTGTTCAGCACAAAATCTAAAAATGCAGATTATCATCACGATATGAACTCTCAAAATTTTAATAAATGGATATCTGAGAAACTAATCCCTAATTTAAGTGAGCCCAGTGTTATTGTTATGGATAATGCTAGTTATCACTGTGTCCAAATCAATAAGGGCCCAACAACAAATACTAGAAAAGCTGAAATCCAAGCATGGCTCTCTTCAAATGGTATTTCATATGAAGATTATCTATCAAGAGAAGAACTATTAGTTTTAGCAAAAGAGAATAAACAAGCACCGGTCTACCAAGTTGATGAACTTTTGAAGCAGCATGGGCATGAAGTGCTAAGACTACCGCCCTACCATTGCGATCTAAACGCTATAGAATTAGTATGGAGTTTGGCGAAACGCAAAGTTGCCAGTAAAAACATTGGTTTGTCTGCGGAGGATATGGCAAAATTAATAGAAGAATCTTTTAATAGTAATAAAAAATACAGACCATGTTATTCATGTTGAAGAGCAGTACAAAAAACGAGATGGAATAACTGCAGAAATGGAAGAGTTCATAATAAGAGTCAGAGATAATGATAGTGATAGTAATTCTGACTCTTCATTCGCAGTTGAATTTTTAGATTCAGATTTTGATTACAGTGATTAAACAAAATTAAATTGTATTTTTATTATCATGTTTTTTCTTGCTTTCACTCGGTGTTGTTTTTTCTCCATATGAGAAGCTACCATAAGTTAGCACTCTCAGGCGTGCTCTAAACTTGGATTGTTGACCATAAATAATATCTTGAACTGTTTCGTGCTTTAGAAGGTACCTTATGGTTCCATTACTATGTGGCAGTCGTGAGGTAAGTCAGATGCCTTTACACTGTTTGAAAAATCTGACGTAGGCACGACAAGTAACAAATATTATTATAATAAATAAAAGTATCAAAACTATATTTCCAACTATAACCTGAGTTGCCATATGATGATTTTTTGAATTTGCCGCCTTTTTCCAGTCTCATCTTTCGTTAGACAGACTCTAGCACTATCCTATTCCACTTTAAACTAGATTTCACAAAATAATTGAAAATCAAAATAAAAACGACGCTTTTCCCTCCCTAAAGGTCCAGAGCGAATCACATTTCTAGACTCAAATATAGTGATGTTCATGTACGATGACTGATGTATATCGACAATAAATTTTTACTGAAATGTTTGAAGAATACTAATAGTTAGTAAGTATTCTAAGTTAATAATTAGTCAATAAGTAGTTATGATTTTTGTAATTAAAGTTCTTAAAATATCGAAGCGAAATACATTCATGTTAAATTGATTTCTTTTATTTTATTATTATTATTATTATTACTAAACATTTTATTTCGAGTAACTTTAACACAACTTATGAGTAAAAGTGTCCGAAGTGCTTGAAGAAAAATGTATGTGTATTATTGTTTTAGATAATTTAGATATTTAAATTCCATTACACTCATAGAATAAACGTAGAGTATTTTTAATTTTTTCCAATGAGTTCAAAATAAGAGAAGGTTGGATAGAAGCTGCAGGAAAATCGAAATATTGGTTTTTCAGACTTTGTTTAAATTTCCATAGCAAATGCATTTAAAAAATAAATAAAACAAAATCAGCTTTATTTTACATGTGCATGCAAAATAAATTAGAAATAATTATAGAAAATTACATTAATCCTTCATAAAAAAAAACAACAAATTCGTTGATGGTTCGTGTTTACTCTTGACAATGACAGCTTCACCAACCTGTGGTAACGTATAATGGAAATTTGACACTGGCGACGATCGCCATATTTTTTATAAAACTGACACTGGCCCAAGCCTAGTGGCCGCCATTAAGAAAATAATAATAATTTATATCAATTTAATAATACACCAAAAAAATTTTTTTTTAAATTGTGTTACGTCGTTTCCAATCAAAATCTTCAAGTTATGGTAGTAGATAATAGAGCGTAAAGTTTGAATTGCACACAAGCTAAAAAGTGGCGACATCGGTACGCGATCTTACATAGCGTCATTACATATCTCCCCTTTTTTTCTATATCTATGGTTATATCAGTCGTATATAACGAGCGAATAAAAGAAACTAAAGATTTTCGGCCCTTACCAACGACTAATCCAGTAATCGCAAGTGCTGGCACAAACTTGCGCAAGGATAAACATGAAACAAACGACGGTGACATAGGGACAGGCAGCTCCTGCTAAGAAATAATCCCGATAGACAGTAGTGCTAACTCTGCCAATTACCTGTGTTTCCGCCTGTGGCCTTTGATCCTGCAATATTTAACTGTTAAGAGACTCCGTCGGGTCAGTACAACAAGAAAGTTGGTTTCACTTTCGACTTTTGAGAAAAACTCACGGCAACAGACTCTTGAAGTGTCAAAGACCATAGATTTCTATGCGCACTTGCTGTACTAGGGTTAGTGGTAGATACACTAGGCAGGAGCACTATAGAATCTTCTTCCCGCACTTCTTTGGTTTTCTCTTTCATCATTTGTATTAAATTCAGTTCTTGTTCCTGCGAACCAATTTTTTTTTGTTTTTTTATAACATCAAGAGACGGGACGAACAAGTCGTGCATCTGATGGTAAGCCACACGTTCTTCCATAATAGTTACAGTGCCACTCAGAGCTTTAAATTGCAGAGATCTGAGGGGCAGTACCACTGCGCCCGTCACCCTGAGACATAAGTTGACAAGTCCCATGTGCCTGTAATGTCACCAGTACCCTTACTCTTCAAAACCGAAACACAGTCATGCTGTCATTACTGCTTGGCGGCAGATATAGGTAAGGTGGCAGTACTACCCTAGACGAAATCTTTCACAAGGAGCTCTACTGCTACTAACTAAAAGTGATTAAAAAACACAAAAGTGTTTTTGATATATGAATATTAGAATTCATATATCAAACACATTTAGTTTTTGGTATATTGTGTTTGGTATATGGATATTAGAATTCATATACCAAACACCTTTAAAATAATAATACATAATAATTAAGTTACATTCAATTCCTCAAATCCGCCTTGGGCAACGATCTGTCCTTTGTTCATTATAATAATGTTTTCAACAGACTTGATGAATTGGATCTGGTGCGTTACTAGGATCACAGTTTTTCCGTCCAAGTACCTATATAACACACATAGTTTTTATAGTTAAACAATGATCACATTAATGGTGTACGAGAAGTAGAAATAATTAAAAGAGCTCAACTCACTCTCGGATGTGGTTTATTACTTCAGTAACTTACCTTTTTATACATTTTTGAAAAATTTGATTAGCTACTTGTGTGTCTACCGCCGAAAGTGGATCGTCAAACAGATATATATCCGCCTGTTACAAAAAACTGTTAATTAGTTTTTGTTTATTGTATAGATATTTTATTGCATACAATGTATGTACTTCTTTATAAACCGCCCTAGCGAGATTTATCCTGGCACGTTGTCCTCCACTCAAAGAAACTCCTCTTTCACCAATTACAGTTTTGTCTCCATGAGGAAACAATGATATGTCTCTTTCGAGAGCACACACTTTGCACACTTCCATGTAGCGAGATTTTACAAATTGCTGCCCAAACAGTATATTCTGTCGAACTGAACCTAAAGCAAGTCAAACAGAAATAGTAAACTATTATTATTAAATAGCTATCGAATTGCATAAAATAGATATTCTTACCAACGAAAAGCCAAGGATCTTGACTAGCGTAACTAACAGTGCCAGAGACTTCAACACGCCCCGACGAGCAAGGCAGTTCACGTAAAATCATATGAAGCAATGTAGACTTCCCAGACCCCACAGCCCCAACGACCATGTTTAAAGTGCCAGCTGGTATCTAGATGAAATTTAAAATGTATTCGCTTTGCTTTGATTGGTTATTTTATAAAATAAAATAGTCTAGATAACAACAAAAATAGTCTCTCTTTACCATGAAAGTTATGTTTTCAACGTCTTCTTTACCAGAAGAGACGAGCCAGTGGCTACTAGCTTCTTCAAAACTTATCACTGTTTGGTCTAAAATAAATGGTTTATGTTTATAAACCGTAACAGTATCATATCATATTTATAATACACAAATCTTATGTTTGAAGGTAAAACCACATAAGTGACATTTTAAACAAAGAGCCTAATTTGTATAGCTATGGTAAGAAAATCACTATCTTTCGCACGTGAATCTGAATTACAAAAAGCTATAAACTAATAAGAGTTTTATCTGCAGAAAGATGGTGAATTTCTTACAACTGGTACATAATTAGGAGATTTTTTGTGGAAAATGTCACTTATATGATTTTACCTTTAAGCAGATGAAATACGTGTTATATGAAAAAGAATAATTCTAATAATAGTACATAATTACGATAAAATTAGCTACGTAAATGACAAACAATATAGGTACATATCGAGATTTTAGGTTTTCACGGTTCCAAAACTATATAGGTACAGATAAATGGTATAGGTACATTCTTAGATATTTTACCTTTTCTTTTGTCCTTCGACGTGATTTGTGACGTGCTGGGTAGATTGGAACTCATTCGACGACGCTCTAGTGCATCGGGGTCAGATGGGTCAACTGGATGCCAAAATTCATTGTAACTTTAGTGTATTGTAAAAGAAATAAAAGGCGATTAAGGCGAGTCTCCGGGGGAAAAGCGGAAAAAACTTTTTTGCTAGATGAAATGGTTTAGGTATTTATCATTAAATAACAGTCAAATACCAAATACCTAATAATAACTAATAACAAATACCTAAGGATATTGCTTAAAGAATGTGTTACACGGTAGGATTTACTTTATCTGGTCATATAAATTTAATAGCTGTAATATGTAATAGTGTCCTCGTGAAAGAGTTTGTCCAGGGAAGTACTGACACCTTGCCTATTTCTGCCACCAAGCAGTAACGTGAGCATTACTGTGTTCCGGTTTTGAGGACTTGTTAACTTATGTCTCAGGGTGACGAGCAGCAGTTGTGATTTAAAGTTCTGAGTAGTACTGCAACTGTTATGGACAGCCTTGTTGCTTACCACCAGGTATATACGACTTGTTCGTCCCCTCACTTAGTATAATAAAATTGGAAAATAGGTTAAAATAAAAGTCTTAAACGAATTAACTAAGGTTAATTATCTTAGTTAAATATGTATATAACTATGTACATCATTTGTAGTTTTTTATCCCAGTTGTCACCACCTGGTAACATATGGTTTTTTATCATTTGTCGCCAGTAGAAATTACCAGTGGCAACAATTAGGATTTCTTATCCGGTTTGTCATCACCTGGTAACATGGGATTTTTTCCAATTTGTCGCAGTAGTGACAACTGGGAGTAAGCCTTAAATTCACATGTATCTCAAAATGTGCTAATTGCTCAGCAACTTAATTACACGCCGCGCCGCAGCAGCATTTGTTGACGTCGGATCCATAGTTCTTATCTATGTCGTATCTGTATAAAATGTTCTCTACCTGTTCTTAATTTATTCATAATAATTAACAGCGTACTGATTGCGTGACGCAAGTGGTGACGTTCCACACCTCACCTCCTAAAATCTAGACTCGCATTAAAATACTTCGTCTCAAGTGCAAAATGTAGATTACGTGTAAAAATTTCGACGTACCGACAAAAACGTGTTTTTTAGGACGTGCATTTTCAATACTGACTAGGTCAGGGCGTTCTCGTGGAGGTAAATTGCATTCCTCACTCAACAAATAGTCTCGTATTCTTTGAATTGCCACTATCATCTCTGCTATCTGTGAATAAGAACTTGTTATTATGTATCACCATCGCTTTTGATAAGTCTCTCGACTTCTATTCTACCACTTGTCAATAGACTATATCTATAAGAAAATAGATAGATAGATAGATAGATAAAACGTTTATTTGTTACTACATTCACACGTACATAACAGCAAAAAAATAAAAAATAAAAACACAAACAAAACAAAAAATAAACAAAAACAGCAGAGTCGCAGCACTGCTAGACACCCAGTTATGTACGTATGCTGCAGCAGTGCAAAAAGGTCATAAGCTCAGCGTCGGTGTTTACTCAAGAGCAAACCGCTGATTTTCAGCTATAACCTAGAGGTAATCGCGGATACGATAATCAGCTCGCTGACGTAATTTTTCCATTTAGTTATATTTAAACATATAATAATAATTAGAATAGAAACCAAATAAATAGGAAGATAAATATTTACTTGTCCGACAGCTTGCGGGAAGTAAAGCGTCATAGTTTGCTTGATAATATTGTAGAAGCAGGTGAGAAAGAAGACGTTTTCCACAGTGATATGGGACACAAACTTGACGTAGAAAAGCACCGTAATGAAAATTCCGAACCGTGACGTAAACATGATAAACGACATTATCACGCCACGGATCATTGACGTCATTTTGATGTTGAAAATTTCTTGACTGAAATGTGTCAGAATAATGAAGCTATCTTTTTTTCCATCCTCTAAGAGCTATCTTCCTAGGTACCTATCATTATCTAACAGATTTTTTTAGAAACCCTACTACTCAAATATTAATTGTATTACCGTCTCACTGTATCAATAATCTCTCGAAAAGGAGCTTCCCAAGTATACATCTTAATCACTTCTATTCCCATTATAATTTCTTTCATCAGTCTTACACGTTCATCGGACTTTATTGCTGTCGCTTTCCTGTAGTGAGCTGTGCGAACTCCTAAAAATACTGGGAAAAACTAGAACGTGAATAAGCAATCACATCATTCTGAATTTTAAATTAATTTTATTAAACACAGCTAGTCATTTCAAAACGGCAATACGTACTCTGGAAAGGAATAACAGCAAACATGAAAGCCGCTCCATAGACAGCAGCTAATTGCATCTCACGGTATAAATAGGCACCTACAATCTGGAAATTTACAAATTTATGAAGCGATCGTTAACACTACGCTTTGTAATTGATCCAAGTTCCAAAATACTGATTAAAACATGGAGCTGTGTAGGTTGTTCTTACTAGTATTATACACATAGATAGTGTTATGTAACAATGTCAATCTTGATAATGCATAGGAAAAGTTATTATTAACCATCATCTCTATAGGCCCGATCCAAAGATAATGCACGAAGAGAGGCCCTGTGTCGAATCTATTCACGTCGTTTGCCATTAAATTCATGACGAGGCCGGCGCTGTATTCAGACTGTGTCTGGAGATTGACTTTCAAAGCCTGAAATTAATAACTACTCTGACTGAATAATTTTCGTTAATCAACACTTTTCCTTCTTCGTCTGTCTTATTTCCTTAGGGTTCTTACACATAAACACGATACGACGTCGAGTCGTAGCACGACGCGACGTCGAATGTGTAAGAGCCCTTAGGGCTCGCTAGGGTACAACGTCATCGTGTTACGACGCGGCATCGTTTTACGACGCAATGTCATATCATGGACATCTATGACGAGTAACGTAAAAATTCACGACAGGACATCGCAACGTGGCACGACGCACGGCACGACGGTCTTATCGTAGAAACTCACGGTGCACTCTCCAGAGCCGCATTAATTTGTTATTCAACACTCATAGATGATTTTGTATTCTTCTGATGTTTTATCCCACAGTACAGGGCGCTCCTCGACTAGGGTTATTAAATAATCAACCTCAATATTGTTTGTCATCTTTGAATATTGAATAACAAATGAATGCGGCACTGGGGAGCGCACCTTGAGCTTCTACGATACGACGTCGTGTCGTGTTTCGTGGCATGTTGCGATGTCGTGTCGTGAATATTTACGTTGCTCGTCGTAGATTTCCACGATACGACGTCGCGTCGTGAACCGATGCCGCGTCGTAGCGTCGTCATATCGTGTTTATGTGTAGTTCCAACAATACAAATACTCGTATTGTCTTTGTGCATTCTTGTCAAGATACCAAATTACATCAATGACCACAATTACCTACATTACAATTTTTTCAGACAAAAATTTTGAATTTATATATCGCTGTAAAGCCGTTGCATATATGTATGGACCTAGTTATACCTTTCTATAAATAAGACTGCATATGCCGACTCGCATCTTCATGCCAATGTGCATAACACCCATCATGAACGGGTGCTGTACGAGCACGTTGATGGCGCTGCAGAAGATCACACCGAATGCACAGAACACTGCCTCCCCCCAGGTGATGGCCCCTTCCATGTCATAATAATGAAATAAGCGATTTATGTACGTATGGTTTGTCCTGAGTAAAACGGAATGTAGGTTCGAAATTCAAGGTTATTTTACACACGTTTCATTTTTTTGTTAACATTTTAGGTAAACTTACGTTGAGTTCTGTGGTACTGTATAGTATCTTAATAGAGTACCCAAAAACAGCGGTTGTTGTAATCTGAAACGTGTTAATTGATGATGAAAGTTCCTTGAATGAAAATTCATTTGGGGAGATCCGAATACTTAATAATTTGGTACTTATTTTACCTAATGATAAATTCCATGGCAGCAAGTATCAATCCGTATAACATTAATTCAGTGCCGAAAACTTTAATCAAAACCTTGTAGAGACTTGGTTTGTAATTCCTATTTGCGCGGCTGTGCTCCATTTCTTTGTCCCATGCTCTTTGCACTGCATTGCCTAAGATACAATAAAATCACCAAATACACATCAAAAGTATTGAACAAAAAAATTAATTAATTTAATTTTAATTTTAAGTAGTTGATGTACCAAAAAAAGGTGACTAGGTGAATATTTTTGCCGATTTTCTATCGCTTTTATAAAAATTCTTCTGTATGATCTCATTCAAATGTGATAGTTATGGAAACAATCTTTATAAGAGTGTCTTTCCATGGCCCGTGATATCAAACGTGCCGATTTGTACTTGCGAGTTCGCAATATGGACGAGTCCGGGCGGTCTTGGATCAACACGCGTGGCGGCGCTACTCGCGTTTTCCGTCCGAAACAATTGCTGCGAAATGGGCCACGGGACGTGGGAAGCCACCTTAAGCACCAGGGTCAATTTGCAATACGCTTCTTTGACATTGGGTAAAATATACTATATAATATTTATTAGTATTCAAGCAGTACTATTTGATAAATAATTCAAAAACAATATTGATCTTCCGCTTACTTGACTATTGTAAAAGCATTCTAGGTAAAAGGCTAACCCAAATTATCAGAGCGATGTTCAGGCAAAGGAGCATACAGATCAGTTTCTTCGATGTCTCGCGTGTATCCCATTTTGAATGTCTCTGCCGTCCATCTACACAGAAAGAGCCATTATGTAAGAAATTAGATAATTGAGAGATCAATTTCTTATGTGTGGTCTTCGGGGCCTTGTTATTAATTTATGAGATCATTACCCGAATGTGAGTATGGATAATATGTTAGCTTTATAACGCGGATTTATTAGCCGCCTTTGTTTTGGTCCTGTATCCATTATTGTAGCAGTAACAATTGGTTGTTGCTAAAAGCAAGTCGTAGAAAATCGCATCGGTCACGATTTTTACATTTGTGTGACTTACTCATACGTAGGTACCTAGGTACTTAACGTTGTTTAAGTAGGTACTAGCTCGGATGAAGAAGTCGTATGATGTAAGTAACTACTTACACCCCTTACATGCAACAAATTTTTGTTAGGTAGGTAGTGAAATGTGGACTTAATATATTGAAGTTTGTATTGGCGATTTGTAGTAAAAAATATTATTAATAGGTACCTTATTCATGAAATAGCTTGTCGCTGGAATCGATTTACAGCACTAATATCCTATCGACATTTAACACATAAAATACATTTTAAATATCGGCTTTCCACGGCCCGTTTTTACCGAGGGTCGCGCCAAGGCCGCGCCACACGCTGGCCGAAATTCAGACCTTCCGTTACATAGGAATTAAAATAATTTTCAGTAAAATTTGACAGGTTGCCAAAAAGAAAAACAGCACTTAATTTTTTAAATCCCTATGTAAGAGAAGGTCTCAATTTCGACCATTCAATAAGAGCGTCGAGGTAAGTTGTTAAGATTTTATTGAATTGAACATACGTGGTTTGTTTTACGGATTCATACTAAATAATTTAAATCATTTGAACGCTGTCAAATACCGAATGAGCGCCAAAAGCTACGGGCCGCCACGCGCGCCCGCCGGCGCCGCTCTTTGGAAGTTACCTATTCTCGGAGGATCCGAAAAAGCGACCACGGGCAAGCACGCGCCGCCAAACGCGCGCTCGGGCGTCCTTCTTCCTACGCCGCGCGGGTTGGCGCGAGCTCGCTTTGCACGGCGCGTTGGTTTAATTAAGCCTTGGCGTGCAGGGACTGGGGACCTCTGCAGCGTCAGAGATAGTGTTTCGATCTCAGTGCAGTGGTGTGTAGGTTTATTTGGTACTTCGTTGGAGGCAGTGTTGCCAGACTTTTGCGAAGTTAATTCGCCAATTTATGATTATTAAGTAGCCGATATTCGCCGAAGCCATGAAATCCCTAAAAATCAAGGAAAACAATTCTACAATTCTGCTTGCTGCCGGAAATTGGGGAATATGAACTTTCTTATTTCCCTAATTCGCCACAAGTAGAAATACTGAAACCCCCAAATGAGTTGTTTTACAACTCCATTCGCCACAAAATCCCCAATCAAGTTTGTGATTCCCCAGACATTTTATTAAGTAGCCTAAAATCGCGTTTTCCTATTTTAAACATAGTCTAAATAGCGCCGAGTCGCCAATCACTTTTTAGTCGCCGCACGACCCCTCGCAGTGGCCTAAATGGCGAAAGATCCCCTAATCTGGCACGACTGGTTGGAGGCCACCAAGCTTGCTGGCGCTGTGGAGCAATGAGGTGCGGCTATATTTGCTTGACGAAAAAGGTATATTCCACGTTGTTCAAAAACAAGAAAAAAATTTTGTGAATTAATTCCAACAGTGATTTAGCAATGATTTGCGGATTTTATGAATCGGAACTAAAATACTTACTTCTATAAAATTATTCTTGTATTGTGGTGTTTAAAAATATAATTTACTGGACGCTAATCTAAGTACAAATTTACATCGTCATAATTTTGCCAATCAGCCATTCTAAGAAATTTGCTTAACTATAGATTATATCGAAATGCGATAATTGATTTTTGAGCAAGAATGTGTGCCATGAATAATTTATTAACATCTATTTTACTTATATTATATGTGGAGATAAATAAAATTATTGCGTATTGAGTTTTTTGAATAAACTTTTTTTTTCATTCTCATATACCTAATTTTTAAAGGGAAATGATAAATGTGCCGAAAAACAATGCCCAGTAAATGACACATGGCACACTTTAGTGCCGAAAGCTCTTAGAGGACGGACAAAAACAAAGGAATAGTCTAAGCGAAAGCTACAAACTAAATTTGACAAGATCTGTTTAATCTGGTATTAGCCGCGATTCCTTGTAGCGTCTTACACTCACAAGTAAAACTGCGCAGACAAGCGGACGGTAAGTGTAGCTCAAACGTGTGGCCGGCACTTAACATTTCCGTAAATAAATTTTTTCTAGCAAAAATTTGGTCAACTTCGAGTAGTAGGTATCATGATAAGTACAACGTTGACTTCCGCCATATTCTTTCGGTGTTCAATTAGCAACAAATTAGTCGTGTGTCGATCGTGATGTATCGAATCAAAATGATTCCAACAGCACCTGTGACCTGACCCGATAACCCGGGAAGCTAGTAGCTTCTAATAACCCGACCATTTTAGGATTTCATGAGACTTTATCGCTATAATTTTAGAGATTAATCATATTAATCAACAATTCACAATACTATTATTGTCTCGTTCACTCTCACGTGAAGTCCCCATTCAAGACATGGTTCGCATTCTCACTCCTTGTTTGGGTCGAACATTTGTTCGACAGAGCATTCGTTCGATAGAACCTACGTTCGATCAAACCAAAAAGACAAGCCATCGATCAACGATTCAACGGGTTACCGGATCAATGAGTCTATCAATCATTCATCCTAATTGCTCCGTAGCGTAGTGTCCATTACATGGTAATTTTGTAAGTTTAATCTGTTTTTCGGTGTGTTGTGTTTATTTATGAGTGCATTAGCTAATATTAAAATATTAATGAATAATAAATTAGTAATTTTGAATGCTCATAAGTTTTTTGTTATTTTTTTTTTGTTTTGAACACCGTTACTTTTCTTAGAAAGAAATTTTATATATAGACACATTACCCATCAGCAGGAAATAATAAAAGCTAATTGTATAATTTGACCGTTTTAAACGCCATATAGAAGTATCATGAGAGACGGTGACCCGCTAAAATATCCAATATATGATTGAATCATTTGACCCGATCATATTACGCATGGGTCATGATAGACCCGGGTTATCAAATATTGATGGATCGACACAGGTCTACAACAAATACCTACCTATATTTGAAGTGATTGTACTCACGAAAACAAACGCTACTAAGTAATGAATTTTAAAAATCAGTACTTTTAAAATCTATATATACGAAATAAATAAAACTTCATTAAATACTTTTTGAAAGTTTAGAAAGACCGGAAAGACGTGTTCGGATATTCGACTCTGGTATATTTATTTTTAGAAAAGAAATTAGAGCTTTATTCTCCATTTTGGTAGTTAATCTAAATTATCTACCAAAATGGAGCAGATTTTCAGCAATCGTCAATACTGCTAAATAAAAAATCGCATTTGATCGTATTTGATAAATATTATCAATATTGTTATTAAATACTTACTTTTTTTAGTAACAGTACAGCTCCTTGTGATTAAAGAGTTCGTCCAGGGAAGTACTGCCACCTTACATATTTCTGCCTCCAAGCAGTAATGTGAGCATTACTGCGTTCGTTTCGGTTTTTTAAGTGCCTTTGTAGCCGGGATAAATATTTGTATGGCCTACATTTATTTCTCTCGTGACGTGAGTTTGGGTGTACTTTGTGGTTGTTTATGTGTGTGGCCATGTCACCCGCGACATAGGTTACAAACAAAGGTTGCAAACTAAAAAGCGATTAAAAAAGCACGCTTTTTTTTAAAAAGCATAACGTTTAAACGTTTAAAAAAATAAGCAGTTATTCCCATCTCCAATGTTGAGTGTGTGCGTTGTGTGCATTTATAATTAGGTATATTCTAAAGCGGTTACATATGGCGACTTTTGGCAGCGACGCAAACGTACGTTTGTGAAACGCACGATTGCATAGTGACACTAGCGATTGCAGGCGGTTGCATTGATCGTAACAGTAGTAACAATGTTAATAATATTTGATATGCCTAACGTAGATATTAAATACCGTTGTTTTTATATACGTATATTTTAGAGCGGTTACACACGCAACTTTTAGCAGCCAAGCAAACGCGCTTTTGTGAAATGTGGCACTGGCGATTTACTGGCGGTTGCATCGATGCCAACGCGCGACTGCATTGATGCTTATTTACGCATTTTTTATCGATACCGACACATATGTTGTGATAAAATGGCGAAGCTACCATAAAAAAGTGACCGCTTGTTAAAGGTTTATCAAACTTGAAAATTAAATGCGGTTACATTTTTTGTTCACTGTTGCAGGGGCGCAGTTACTATATTGTTTCATCTTTTAGATATAAGAAGTATATAGACCATGCACCATTATTACTTTACTATACCGTACTTATTTCGGATAATATTTTTAAAACCTATTTTCAAGTTTTTGTTTAATCTTTACTTGACACTGACACTATGTGGCTTTCGACGACTGACCCTAATTAAAACTTTTGTATCGCGGCTGTATCGCGTTCGCATTGCCTGACAGAATTGACTAGCTGCAGACGCGCTGCCGATATTCGCCGTGTGTAAAGATAATATAAAATACCAGCGCGTCTTTTTTTAAAATCTAAATTTAAGGAGCTTTACCGTGTATTTTAATAGTAATGTCGCTCCGTTATGCTACTTAATTTACACATCTAACCTAGATTAAGACTATCTAAATATATTTTGTACAGTATCTTGGCTTCGTTTGACGAAGGAACGGCCATTATACTGGTACGCCACCCAGTCTGCCGTATGTTGGTCACACTGCCCCACTGTCTCTTGGGTCTCTCGGTCCGAACACATTTCATCAAAACGTGGTAAATGTCTTCAATAACGCCGCAATTCCTACAATAAGGAGTTAGTGTAATGCCCATCAAAAAGGTAAACTTCTTTGAAGGAATGTGCCCAGGAATGTGTCTGATGTTCTGATCCGACCGATAGTCGGATCAGAACATCAGACACGAAATCGGACGTGTATTACCGCACTAAGATGCGCTTCTTTGATGAGAGATCCAAAGAAAAAGGTATCTGGTTCAAAGCAATTCAACCTGAGCCACTTGAAGTTCCATGGATTGATAACTGTTTGATGAATAGACTTGGTATTGTGACGGCTCTGAGGTTCAGACACGAAATCGGATTCACTCGAACACACGTCAGATAGGCGTCCGATTCTTACATCAGACTTTATTCTGAACTAACTGCAGTGCTGCCAATTTATGGGGAATTCCCCAAATACAGGGAATTTCAACTCAACAACTCGTTTGGTGATTTTGTTTGGATTACGCTATGTGGAGAAAATGCCCTCGTATTCTAGAATTTTATCATATTTTTGTTACATTGATGATCACTGATAAAAACACTATTTATTTGTTTGTTTATAAACGATATTGATATTGTTTTCAACATCGCACATGCGCTGCTTATATAGCAACATTTTTATAGAAAGAATTATTAGCAAACCGCTTATATGTATAAAATTATCTAGTAGGATTAGAATCACTTTGTCTTGAACTACTAAAATTTCTACTATTATCAGTCGCCGACAAGAGCCTGGCTTTTAAATAGGATGATGACGATCAGTCGGTGGGTGTTGAGCGCGCGACCCTTCCTCGTTTTGAACGGTCCCCGGTGTGTCCTTGACGGGTCACGGCCCGTCCACGTCCCGGATATGTATGGATAGTCTTTAATACCACATCTTGCCACTCGTCAAGCTTAAATGTTAAGGTTAAAACTTAATTCAACTTGTTGACTGTATTTCTAATTATAGCTTAACGTATATGTAATAGATGGGCACATTTTGACTTTCTTAATAATTTGATATATTTTTAAGCGTAACAATAATAATATACTAAATACTGAGAATGAATAAATTTTATTACATGTGGGAAATAATACCTTTGTCTCCCCAAATCTATTACCTTGATTTTTGGGGAAAAGCCGCAAGACCTGCAGATGGTTTTTTTTTCTTCATAGAGAATTATTGGACCTATACATACTGTAAATAAACCAAACACATTACATTTCCCTACATTATATAAGAGATAGAAATAAAATGTATATATATTTCTCTATAGAAAAATTATAATTTTTTTCTCCGAAAGTATCACCTTTACAAGAAATTACACAAGAAAAAAGTTGTTCGGAATGTTATTATCTATCATATAAAAATACTCCACAAGTTATTCCTATGACTAAGAATTATCAATTTGGGCCATTGACTTTTTGGGCCCACTGTGCGGCGCGGCGTATCTCATGATCTCTAGAGCGTATCCGAACTCATTTGACGCACGTACGAAATATACGTTGACATAATTTAAAATTATTTTTTAATTTGCACATTTATAAATAGCTCTCTTTATTTATATGAAGTTTTGTGAGATAATAAACTTATAATCTAGTATTTGTTGGTAAATCTACTTTAAGTTTTAAAAGAATAGATTTTCAGAACTTGTAACAAGCAAATGTCAAGATGACTGAAGTTGAAGCTTTGAAAACAAATGAATTTCTGCGGCGACGAAAGCTGAGAATTCAGCAGGTTCGTTTTTAGTTAGCGTTTTTTCTACAATTCAAATAGATCTTCATAAAAAATTATTCAAGTGATTTGCAGAAATACATAGTTGTGTTGTTTTTAGGTTAGGGAACAATCAAAAGACATTGCAAAGAAAATACGACAACGAGCTGAACTTGAAAAGGCCAGGCACCTTACGGAGCACGACGCAAAAAAAGGAAAAGTATATCAGAAACAGCAGGATAGATTGGTGCAACGATTAGAGAAGTTTTGTGCTAGAAGTTTGCAAAATGTAGGTTCAAGTCACAAGAATGCGGAGAAACTAAATGTTGAAGGTATCTTACTTAACTTTTCCAATATTATTTTAACACACCATCATTTAATTTATCTTTGTTGTATCGCCAAGTAAATTGTAATCACAGTTGAGACATAAATTACGTAATTCCCTAGATAATAATGTGTTTTAGTTAGAAAAAAAAGTATTGTCCTTAACCTTTTATAGGAGTTCCAACAAAATCCGATCTTTCAAGACAACGAGGTAAAGAAGCAACAGTAGAGTTGAAGCGGAAAAAACAAGAACACCTAGACAAACAGAAGAAATTACTCGATAGACGACTTCAGGCTCGGTAATTGCCAGAAATAGTTATTTGTTATGTAAGGTGGCAAAGTTGTTTGACATGAGTGCTTCTATAGAAACCTGAAGAAGTGAAGGAAGCTAAGATTGAAGTTAGGTTTAGGTTAGTTAGAAGAAGTTAAGAAGAGTTTAAAAAATAGATTAGATGCAAAACAACTTTGCTTCCAAGCGAAACACAATTTTTCACCTCACTGTAGCGAGGAAAATGGTAGATGAAAGAAAAACAGGTAAACTATAAAACATCAGTTTTTTTATTAAAAGAAAAAGTTTTTCTCCGGATGCATTCCGAATGTACACATCAATATTTTTATTCTTGCTTGTACTTTTATTTGTGTGAAATTATTTTAGTTCTTAGACAAACTAAAACAAACACAATTAGTTATGATTATCAATTTAATGTCAACGTTAATATAGAATAACAGATTTATATTACATAAATAAGTAACGTAGAACAAATTGCATAGTTGAATATGTCATTATCTTTTTTTTTTCACCGGAAGAATAAGTTGGGTGCACCACAGTCCATCATCAAGTTCGAATTTCTAAAGCCTTTTCCGCACTGGCTTGCAAAACAATAAACGCTGTTTTGCGCACAGACTTCTAATGAGAAAGAAAGCCTTTCCGAGCTAATGAGGTGAAAAAGAGCTTTTGTACATAGCTTTTTGTGGTTAGTTAATTGGAATACATATATGTTACAGAGAAGCAGCAAATGAAATTAGTAGAGAAAAGTCCTCATCTGTTGCAAGCAAGATATTAGCGAAGTCGTCCACAAAGGAAATTGCTGTAGAAGCTGAGGCCGTGCTGAATACTGACAAACCAGAAACCAAAGAAGGGGATGACAAACGGGAACCTGTGATTTTAACAAATGAAATGGCCACTCAATGGAATTTTGACTCTGTGCCCCATGAGTGGGAGCCTCACATTCCTTTGCTATCACTTCATAAAGAGAGTAGTGATAGCACTAAAGACACCCCTGGTCAAAATGTTGAGGAGACTAAGAGGAGGCCCAACTTGTTTGCTGTCAGTGAAGAAATGCCATCAAGTCTTTGTGGTGGCCTCGCCTATCAAGATACCACTTCCTCCTATAAGCCATGTTTAAATCTCGTTTCGGAATATTTACAGAATAGGGAACTTCGCCTGCGTGAACATGATGCTGTAACTGTAAACAAAAAACCTGATGATTTACAAAGTATAAAACAGACTTTACAGAAGACTCGCACTGCATCAGTTGAAGGTAGTTTTTGTCATGTAGCTGATGTACAACTGGTACCAGTGCCTTCATGGCAGCCTGAGAAATGTGGATTTTGTACTCATAATGTCTTATGTCACAAACAATCATCCAAGTGCAGCAACCATTCCAAGACTCCTCAAGCCAGTGCGTTCAAAGAGCGTGTGATGAAGCAAATCTTTAGTTCTAGACATATTCAGCCTGATTTGAATCCTAGTCCAGTTCTAAGGGGTTCCAGCCCTTTTCGGAGATGTAAAGTTGGTCAAAAACATTGTAAGCACAATTGTTTATGCAAACATTTGTATCACAGGCTATTCATTATTTTTCAGAATCATGATTCATCACATGCACTAGTAAAACTGCAATTTATATATTACTATGGAGCTTAATGCTTATACTATTATTCATTTTATGCTAAAACATTTAGTAGTAGTAGTATTTTTAGTCTTTCTTTTTTAAGTCTGTAGTAGGAGCACAGTATTAACAATAGCATTTCAGTTTCAGTTAAGCCTACTTTAGAAAGGCATTCTGACATGCCTATGAAATTAGGCCAATCTATGAATTTTGTGAATAAGAAAAATTCTGTGACTATGTATAACCATGCCACTAGAGACACAAGGGATGTTTGTTATGGTGATAAGAGAATTGTATTTCGAGATACACTAGCTGATGAAGATGCTTACTCTCAAGCTATGAAGGAATCTTCATTGGATTCAAGGAGAGTTTTATCCTGCACAAATGATAACCATCGAAAGATGCAAGATTCTCGGAGCAAAATTGCACTGACAAAACAAAATGTAGAAAAAGAGTTTAAAGATACTATGGCATTTTTGAATACCCTTTCTAAAGATAAAACAAAACCTATTGTAAGTACTATTTCGTTATTTATGTAATTGAATTTGGTGGTAGACTGGCATTGAAAATATACAGACTGTCTCAGATGATAGGTCCAAACATGTTCAAATCATGACCGAATCTTCTCACATTGATATGTACTTCTCAGTTGGACCTGTGCTTATTCAAACCAATCTTCCAGGAGAGCCTTGACTAGGATTTGAAGATGATTCCTACCTAGTATTTGTGACTAGCTTACCTGTATTGACTCTCATAGAAGGGCCCAGTTATCGTGAGGACTTGACCCCAACTTTTGCAATCGCATCTGTAGTCTAATGAGGCCAGTCTGACACTGGGGGCAATGGCTCAATTCCATGTCACCTGGAAGCCAGCATAGAACTACTTTGCTCCTCTCACCAGAGCAACAGTGTGCATGCACTCCATTGTTTTCTATGTTTCGGAGACTGATGCAAGTGGGTGAAGAGGTAGCTCTTGTTGCTGTTGCAGTTTTGAATTGATCTAGATTTTTGCATACGCTTTTAATTTTGGTTGAGTTTGTAGCTGAATCTGGCTGGAACAGTTAATTAGAAAATAATTTCACTTTACTCTCAGTTGAATAAAAAAAATTCAGTATTTAAAAAACTATACCCAATCGCAAAAGTTTTGTAGCAGTAGTAGTGAGGTGAATATATCATGATCATATTCCACATTGTAATGTTGATTAAAATGGTCCATAAACTTAATAAATTATTGTTACCACCAGAAAACTGCTTACAAAGACGAATCACGACAGGAATTGCAAAAAGGAGGCTGGCAGAAAACACTACAGCAAGAGTATAAGAAAATTGAAAAAGAATGCAAAAGACACCCTTTTGTGGTAAGCTTGATTGAAAGTTATAATAATATGTATATGAATCTAATCCTTTGAAGTCAAGATGTCGTATATTCAGTGGACAGAATTGTGATAACAATTATAAATGTAATTATTAATACAAAGATCGAACACTCGGAAAAAATTCCTTCGATCCGGTCGGATTCCAACTGACATCTTCTAATTTACCTTATTTTAAAACTAACGTAATAACGTTAACATAATAATGTTACTATTTATGTGTAATTTAAAAGCGGTTCTGAAACATTAGTAAATCAATGTCAGTTTGATTTACTAATTAGATGTGTAGCAATCCCACTACATCACTTACATATACTTATGTAAACACTATATATATTCTAAAATTATAAATATATAGTACACATTACAAAACATAAATGTATAATATATAAAATAACTAATAAACGAGAATGCTATAATATATAATAGGTAAATATATAATACACATATAATACTTAAATATATAATACATACTACAATAAATAAACACTAACTACAGAACACAACTATACTAAACTAAGAAATAAAAACACGGTTGCACTTACCTGCACGACGTATCGGATAAAGACACTGGAGTCGCGCACTGCGATGCAAGAACAATGGGTTACGTCACTCACCTGCGTCGACGCATCGAACCATCTTGCTGCCAACCAAACCAGTCTAAATCACTCGCGGACACAGTGCGCATGTCGCTTGCTTTTATGTTTGGTACCGCATTCTTACGCTTTTATTTGCTTTTGTAAACACATAACGCATTAAATACCTACAGATGTAATATGGACGACACATTGCGACAGTGGCGCACTCATAGCAAGACACTTTCGCACCGTCTCGCGGCCACGTCTATTTTGATTTATACAATCTGTGAATCGTAGTAATTACCTATCACTGATCAATAATGTTTATTTAAAAATGTAATTTTTTCCCCAGAATATGAGTAAAACTATTTCTTCAAGTAAAGATAAACCAATGTCACCACCATTGTCAGACTTAGCAGACAATTTTGATGCCAAAGATTTTCAGTACTCTTGGATGCCTGTGCCAGAAAGTGACGGAAATTTTGCGATTCATACAATTCCCACAACACTAAAAGAGAACAAATCTGGTAACACAGTGAAATTCAGTCAGGTCGACAGCTATCACGAATATCGGTCTCGGCATAAGCATACTCCACCTACTAAAGACACTGCTAGCGACAAACCAAAGCGAGTAGTAGAAGCAGTGGTTGTTGAACAAACTGAACAAGAGCAACACCTCAGTTCGTCATCTGATAGCTCTTTAGAAGAAACATCAAATGATGATGTATATTTAGATAAAACCAAGCCTAAAACGAATAAAAACAGAAATGACAGACTGTCAGATGCAGAAAGAATAATAATCTACAAGATTTTAGACTCCAAAGCAGACAAAAAGAGCAAAATTAATAAAACAGCAAATAAAAAGAGAGCAGGCATTTTGAACAGTAAAGATGCTACAGAAGCTATTGTGGAAAAGACAAATACTAGCAAGTCAACTAAAAAGCTTAAAAATAATTCTTTTCAACAACTCGATGAAGGTACCTTGTTACATAGAAATATAATAATAATATAAATTCAACAATCAATTTTGCAATTACAGACAGACTGTTACAAAAAGATGTTATGTACTTTATATTTTTTTTTTTGTTGCAGGTATTTACAAAACAATTAATGAAAAACGGTGAGTATACATAGGGATTATTTTTCAATTACTGTACCATCTCCTATTCCATTAATCCTGCTGTCCTTCCTCAGGATGAAATACAACATAATGAGTTGTTACTCCACTAATGTAGAACTATGGCAATCTGCGACCAACCGCAAGCCTTGGTGGTAAATTGCTTTCTCTTATTTTTATGCAAATAAAGAAAGAAGTAGGTATGCTATTGCGACCACCAAATATGTGTACACGTATATAAGTATTCAATTTATATTCATGTTTGTACATTTTGGTTCGTTTGCTCGATAACAATTACTCTTCGTAAAATGTTACATGGTTTAAATTTTCCAAAAAGGTGCTTATTAGGCATTTTTTGTAATACCTGAATTTTTTTTTAAATTAAATTTCAGGGACAACATTGCCTCAATGTATTTTCCGGACGACGTATTGAGTGGCGCCAAAATTGCCACGGATGACACAATTGTTGAAGATTGTGGCCAGTCAACATGTTATTTGAAAAGAATTAAAAATACTATACAAATGGACACTGGTATGACACGTTACTGTTGTGTGTTTGATGAGAATGTCTTTCTAATCTTGGTAATCAAACAATATTTTTTTTAGGGCTTGGTGTAAGTAAAGAATGCGCTAATGAACGCCCTGGCACCAGGTTATTATTATTTTTATTAATTTATACATTGCTACATTGAGTATGGTCCTACCTTTATCTAATTTTTAATTATTATTATACATATCTCTAGTCGTTTGCCCATGCTACTAGGGCAGCCTCACAGTAAGACAATACATTTTATAGTTCATTGATATTTATTCTTTTCATTAACCGTATGTATTTTTTTAGGGACGTCGCAGAACAAAAATGTGACTGCGCTACCAAATTAAAAGATGACAAATGTTTGGAAACAAACCCATCTACATGTACGTCAACTTCATCATTTAAAACGGCTACAAATGATAAAGCAAGTGGATTTACAAACAATGGGTTTCTTAAATTATTAGACAAAGATGGACAAGATGCGGGTAAATTTTATATTGGCGCTACGGGCTTTCTGAAACATGACGACTTTGAGGTAATTATCCAACTTCGAAAAAAAGATGCCACTAAACAAGATGAAAATATGACAACCTCTTGTGCCACTGACGAAAGGCCTGATCGAACAGAAACAACAGAACACGGAATACAGCGAGTCAGTGATCCACTAGTCCCACTACTGAAGAGTACATGTGAAGGAGAACAATCTTCAGAGAAAATAGTGAAAACTGTTTCTGCTCCTCATAATTCACATTCTGACGGCATAGGCCCATCGTCGCAAAGAACGTGTATGGACGTGATCGATCAAACAGGTATCTGCAATGCAGAGCCAGCTGCAATTAAAGTACTTCCAGAACAAGTTAAATCAAGTAAATTTGTTGAAATTGGTACATATACAACCTTTGAAGATTGTTCTTTAGTTTTAAACAAACCTGAAACAATTGCAAAACCTGCTATGTCAACTTGCACACAAACGTCTTTCGACTCTCCACCTCCTCAAAGGCCTATGTTTATACACATGAGTTCAACTACATCAACGGCATATATGAGCCCACCAGAATTGATTTTACCTGCATTTTTGAAGCCAGATCATACATTAAATACTAATAATTTTACCTGTCGAGGTTCACTGTACGGAGATGATAGAGTTAGGATCATAGATGAAGTTGAAGCACATTCTTGTACATGTGAAAGGTACCGTATTAAAAAAAAAAATGTTACGAAAATTAATCCTTCTATAAATAAAATACCTGCATCTCCTCAAACAGCAAACTCGACAAGCGACAATGGTGGCGAAATGTTCGGTATTTGTCGTAAAAAAGCTGGAAGTGCTCAATGCAGGAAAATTAAAAATTCTGCTAGATTTGAAAATAAGCGATCTCCAAGTATGATTTCTGAAGTGCATACATGTAGAACACAATATACAAGTAGAGGATATCGAAATGATGAAAGCAAAGCAACAAAGGTTAAATCGAAAATGTCATCGGTGTTTAGTAATGACAGAAAAAAAAGTAGTAAACATGATTTGAATCCCCTTGTTAAGTGGTATGTAAATAAGTTACTCAGTATAAACAAAGATGGATTAAGAGCTGTTGATATAGCAAATCAAGAATGTAGTGCTGTAACAACCCCTGGAAGCTCGATCATTGATGTTCCATGTAACATTGACCACAATGGTTCTACAGTAAATAACCACATATCGCTAGAACAACTTAAACAAGCTGTAACACAACAAGTTTTAGAAAAATATAAACGGTCACAAAACGATATTACCGAACGGAAAGACTGTAATAACAATAAAAAAAATCGATATCGATTAACAAAGAAAAAAACCGCTCATAAGGTAAAATCGCTTAATATTTCAAAGCACTTAATTAAGACGAAATCATGCAATAAATCTAATTTGAACGTTATTATGGTGAAACCTGATTCTTCAAAGGCGCCAATAATAGAGTCTTTAGATAGAAAATCTAGTATACGGTTGCGAAGTAAAAGCTCGCCATCACCAAGAACTCTAGATGACACCACACTAAAACGCAAAAACAAATCCTCTGAGTACATAAACACGCTAGATAGTATTAAATTTATAGAGGAGCGTAATAAAATTACGAACTTTCGAAGTGGTGACGTGGATTTTTTGCTAAAAAAGTATCGAAATGAAATGAATAAGAAATCTGAGAAGACTTCTCACGTTCCTCGTAGTACCAGTAAATTGACTAACAAGACTTGTGACGTTTCTCAAACTACCACTAAATCCGGAGTTATTTCATCAAATTCTACCCAGGAAGCTACCCAGCCACAGCAAGTACCTGTATTACCTTTAAATATATCAACACAGACTCTTGAAACTCTTGATGAAGAAATACACTTTATAAAGATGGCAGAAGATAAACTTCAAAATATGGAAAAAATTGCAGATTTAACTGAAATATGCACAAAACGGCTATCAAATCTTGCCAAAGTACTAGAAGAGGTCAGGAGAAATAAATCTTTGGCATACAATCAAGTTTCTGGTTCTGAATCTGAAACCGATCAACGTTCTGAGTTATCGCCAGATGGTCAGCCTGTGACATACGAGCCATTCGTGGAAGTAAAGGTAGGGAGAAAAACTGCATCTCCTCCACTAGAACAACAGTCTGATGAAACAAATAAAAAAAATTCACCAGGTTCTTTGCATTTTATACCTTTTTTAAAGGATATACCCAGACCTGATGCTTCAAAGATTTCTCAACTGTCCTGTGACTCCCAAAAGATCAACGAACCTGAAACAAGTTCTCAAATCACTTCTACAGTAGAGGTACAAAATAATAAAAGTAGAGGAAGACCACCTCCTGCTTTATCTAGGAAAAATTTAAAACATGGTCATGATGTTGTACCACATGAGCTCTCTACGGTAATGGAGATCGACTCACCTCTAAGTGCTAAAGTTAAAAATCAATCCTTACACAACGATAAAGCTACTGACTTTGTGTCCTCAATGAAAACTCAATCAATTTTGGGTGGAAAGAAAGATAATCTAAGCGTCATAACGGAGTTAGTTGCATCTAACAAGCGCGAACAACAAGTTGTTGCTTTAGATACAGAACAAAATGCAAATCCTGACTTATTGCAAAGTAACATCAATACGTCTGACCGAATGCCGAAACCAACTTCAACAGAATCCTACGACGATTCCAACATGCCAATGATGGACATGAAAAAATTTAATGAAATAATGTTAAAACCGTTCATTAGTATTCATGAGTACGCAAAGCAGTGCAATGCGGGAAACGCAGTGCTCGAGGAAGGCTCCAACTTAGATGTTCCTAAGGATGATGCTATAAATGACGACCTTAGCTCTCTGCATTCCGATGGTAGTTTGCCGGATGTCATAGCAGAGTTATTGAAAAGGAATATCATTAGTGAACCTTTTAAGTTTGACACAGTTTCGAACACCAATTCAACTACGGTTTCTTCAGAGTCTACATTACCCATGCTAGCTTTATCAAAAGTTTGTAAAGAAAGTAAAAAGAAATCTAGTGCAGTATTTCAAAATAAAGAAAATGTTGCAGAGACATCAGATACTCTGAGTATTTCTTCTAATCCAGATTTGGAAAATGCATTTAAAAAGCTCGGTATTGGATGGGCTTCATCTACTCTTAGAAAAACCAAAGAGAGGCTGGCTCTTTCATCATCTTCGAATACTTCAAGTTCCAGTTTGTCTCAATTCAAATTAAAAGGTAGCAGTAATCACGATGTACCAGTTGTTGTGAAAGTGACCGATTCTGTTGCTTTGGTTCATAGTATACAAAGGAAACCATTGCAAGGAAAAATAGTTGCCGACAGTGGTAAAAATGCGGAGCAACAAACTTCCTTAACAAGTTCAATGACAGTAAAGCAATTTTTGACTAATGAATTGGCTAACAAAATAACGTTCACAAACAAAACAGATGATACAGAGGACTATGTGTCTCTTTATGAAACAAAGTTGCCGGAAGAAATGAAACATTTGTCGAAATTGGTACGGGCAACAGCTGAACAATCTATGGACAGCGTCCCGAGCGGTAGCAACAACCGCGCGCGGACTTCTACCCCTGTCCAAATTTTCAAGTCTATGACTTATCACTCTAGTTCTAGTTCAAATATATCTAACGGGCTATTTAGCAATGCTGACTTGTCCTCAGTTAAAGGTACTTCCAACTCTCAGAAGAACCATTCCACTACCGATAAAGATGATCTTACCGTTCCGAATTATAGTTTGAGGACTAAAAAAGGTCTCTCAGATTATAGCGAGTGATTAGTTGTTATCATTCCATGTCGAGAAAAAATATGGTGGGAGTGTGGTTGAGAAAATTAATGACATTTATTTATATTTTATATTAAATAAATCAGTGTTTACTCTGATAGCTATTTTACTGCAACAAACATGACAATTAGTGTCCACTGCCCTAGAAGTACAAAAACATTTATATTTTTCAAAAACTATATTTCAAATAAATAGATTTCCCTTAATATCACAATGTACATGATGACAATCTAAGTTTTATATCACAATGATTAAGTTAGATTGGTGGTCAATATGATTTTATGAGACAATTTCATGAAAATTAACAACTGAGTTTACAATATAATATCAGCTAAAGATCACAGAACACATTAGCTCCTAAATAACTAAAATACTTTTTTTTTTTGAGATTAAGAATGAGATTTATTATATGAACATGAATTACAATTAGGAAATAAAACTATTTTTCCGGATTTAAATCGCGTATATTTGTTTTTTCAAACAAACCGACGTTTCGGGCCTTTTACAGTAATCATCTGGCAGGGGAACTTCAGCATATAAAGCAAGTCCTACATGCGAATAAGTTGAAGATTCCAAGCCAATGCCGCAGGCCCAGTGTGAAACCACCAACAGTCGAGCGAAGACCTGCCATCTTACCTTACGTGGGAGGTGTTACAGACAAGATCGGAAGAGTCCTCAGGCGCGCATCTATCAAAACCTATTTCAAGCCCCTGAGGAAGATTTCTCAGTTCCTGAGACCCGTGAAATGTAACATCCCCTTACAGGATGCAGGAGTCTACAAGCTTGACAGTGAGTGCGGTCTCTCTTATATTTTGTACCCGCGTCAAAGAACATATAGCTGATGTCAAACACCGTCGCGTAAACAAGTCTGCAATCTGCGAGCATGTCATGGATAAACCTACACATTCAATGAAGTTTGACAAACCCCAGGTCCTTGCAAAAGAAGTCCGTTATCTACCCAGGATGCTGCGAGAGGCCATTGAAATTAAAAAACATCCTAATTTCAATGGGGAAGATGGTTTCTCCGTACCACCAGTTTGGGATCCAGTGTTTCCTCTAATGAAAAATCCCAAACAGACATAAGACTGCAGTACTAATTAATATGTTTTAATTTATTCTAATTTCTATTATTATACACACTTTATTATACAAATGTATAATAATAAATTGAACTTAATAAAAATTCATTTAATAAAACAATTTGTAAAACTTAATTTAGCGTAAATTGGAATGTTTTCTTTGTAAAATTAAAAATAAGGTATTTAATTAATAACTATTGTAACTATAGTGAAAAAATAAGGTGGTTTGCATCAATATTAGACAACTGGTTGAAGACTGTACCACATCAGTCAACCGTGACCATGGGACCTGTAAAGTGCCCGAAATGTCGGTTTGTTTGAAAAAACAAATATACGCGATTTAAATCCGGAAAAATAGTTTCATTTCCTATGTGTAACAATCGCGAAAACCTAAAACTCGATATGAATTACAATTGTTATTAACTACATTGTACAATACACAATGATCCCCAATAACAGAAAATTGGCTAAAACTTATATACATGCCATCAATCCTTTTTGTCTTTGAATAGATGTTCTTTAGCTAAAGTGTATGCCAGGCCAACTGTAAGGGCAGCTACCACAGTGCCTTGGGCTGCTACTCGAAGCTGCATCAGGAACACACTGGTGCTCATTTTGCCTTTGGTTTTGTATTTATAGGCACCTAGACCACAAACTCCGATTAAACCTAAAATTCCTGTAACAAGCAAACAATAGGTACATTAAATAAATACACATCATGTTTGCTAAGTATGTGAAATATACAAACTTTACCAAAAGTGCATGTTAAATATTTTTTATTTATGATACCAAGTGACGGGACGAACAAGTTCTGCGTCTGGTGGTGAGCGACAGCAGTTGCAGTGTCACTCAGAGCTTTAAATCGCCAAGATCTGAGGAGCACTGCCACTACGCCTGTCACCATACCTAAGACATAAGTTGACAAGTCACATTACTGCTTGGAGGCAGAAATAAGCATGGTGGCAGTACTTGACTCTTTCACAAGGAGCTGTATTGTTACTAAAATTAATTTGAGATGATAAACTCGGGGCACAAAATCAAAAGTATCTATATTGTATGGGTACCTATGCAAATTCCACACAAAATAATAAAATTAGAAGTAATAAAACTCAAATGAGAAATGTATGAAACTCAAAGGGTTGTTATTCTTTATATCACAGGTAGTAACAGTTTAAACAGAATCTTTCATGAATTTTTGTCGTCTAAGTTGCTAGAAAGTATCGACACTGGTAAGGTAATTGGAAAATATTACAGGAGAGTGATTTAAAATATAACCATAACTCTAATTTTATTTGTTATAGCCTCCTGAGTCCTTGCGTACTTCTTCCTCGAACAAAATGGCGATGATCATTTAAGGCCCATTTAGATGGAGAGAGTTTCTCGCACGCTTCGTGACAAAAACTCGTAGGCGATTATCGTAAGCAATAATCGCCATAAGATTATC